TGGGGCCAAGCCCTTCCCACTCGTTAAGTGTTTTGGCGTTGAGCAACGATGCTTTATGACGTAAAATAGAAAAAGCAAGAACGGAGAGAGGGAGGGAGGACGGAGATAAATATTCAATTCCTCCAAATGTCAAACGACAGAAACCAAAACAGTAAGGAAAGCCCCTAAAATCCTCCATTTCAAAAATAGGATAAAAAAAACCCAAGTACCAATATGGCTACTCCAATGCCACAAGTGGGAGTTAGCTCACAGAACCTCATCTTTCCCAGGGGTCCCCTCGCTGGGACCAGGAAAGCTTCTGTTCCTCCCATCTGTCCGTCTCACGCAGGATTTGTGTCCGTGTTTCAATGGTCGGTGCTTGATGTCACCCTGTGTTCAATGATAGATGTAACCCCCACGGGTCACGCAGCCACCCGGCTAACAGCCATGATGTTTCCTCACGCTTCTCTCATTAGCTGACACAAATCTCCACACTTTCATCTGCTCTCCAGCTCTTGAGTCAGGAGTAGGGCACGTGAACGCGGCTTTATGGAGCATGGCTCTTGAACTCCATTTCTCAATCTCGAAGGAGTCATTTAACTCTGCGACAGCTACCTCTGCAAGCGACATCTTTGACCTTCAAGGGGCCATCAATATACGACAAGGGGGGGAGGGGGAGGGAACACACAGACATCGCCGAGAATGACAAGGCTCGTCTGCGTGATTCATACGTCTTCCCGTGAGTTACTCAGCAGGCGCTTAACTTACAGATCGCGCGTGGCGCTGAGGAACTCTGGTGTGACATACGAGCCCAGGTGAGTCCCTTCAACCATTTGTGCTTTTGGTGAAATGATGAGCGACCTCGTTACCATCCCCGTCAGAAATGACGCCCGGGAGCAGTGACAGCGCCTCCACCGCCTGCCCCGTCTGTCTTCTGTTTTATTTGGGTATCTCTCAAGGGCAGCAAATTCATTACTGACAATAAAAATATATGGTTTAGGGTTTTTAAAATGTGGGTCCTTAAACTTAGAGTCAGGCGTCAAGTAAATAAAGTGCCACTCAGCCGACCAGAGGTGTGGCCTGGATGAGGGCGCCCAGCCCAGAGGCCCGAAGGCCAAGCCGACGGCACCGGTGGCCGCAGCCGGCCGGAGCGAAGGGAACGCAGAAGCCAGTGGTTTCCGACTGGGAAAGGGGCCTCCACGCTGACACCCCAGGGGCTGCCCCCAGTGTGGCTGCTGGATAAATAGTCCCGATGCTGACATGGCAAGGGCAAAAGGGAGGGTGGGCCTGTGGGCATTTCACAGATTATGTGACGTCCAGTTCCAAATCTGGACACTTTAGAAATGGTTACCTTGAGCTAACCCATCCTCCAGGGACTTCCCGCTGCGGGTGGGGAGAGGTCTAGGCGTGATGGGCTAGACCAGTGATGGCGAACCTCTGACACGTGAACTCATTTTTTTGGCTGATTTTTCTTTGTTAAATGGCATTTAAATATCTAAAATAAATATCTAAAATATAAGTCTTTGTTTTACTATGGTTGCAAATATCAAAAAGTTTCTATATGTGACACGGCACCGGAGTTAAGTTAGGGTTTTTCAAAATGCGGACACGCCGAGCTCAGAGGTTCGCCGTCACTGGCCTAGACCCCGTGCACCACCCAGCCTGGCCCCTTGTCGTCAGCGTCAGGCTCCCGAGGAGGGAGGGCAGGCTCTGACCAGGAATGAGCATGACTGCACAGCCTCGGGTCCTCCCTTCTCCCCCTCCCCCCTGCGCTCAGCTCTGGCCTGGAGACGCCCCCCAGGCCCCAGGCCTCCTCACTCACAGCCCCCCCACCCCCCCAAGGCCACAGAAGGTGTTTCCCTCAAACTCCTGCTCTTTCCTCAGCGACAGGAAGTCTCACACTGGGTTTTGCTTTGGTCTCAAAGATCTGCATTAAGGATATGCATTTCCCACTAAACAATGAAGCTGCTTAATGCAGAGCTCATCTTATTGGAGCCCCTGCCTCTCAGCCCAGACACTGAATTCCAGATCCAGCCTACGGAATGGGTAGCTACCCTTCAAGAAAATCTACACACATGACAACAGGTGTAGGTCACGGAGAACTCGGTACGTTACGAGACACTGTCAGGATAGTTTGTCAAATATCGGAACCGTTACGCCCTGATCTGCACTCGGAATCTAAGCCGATCGACGCTAAACTGTCACTGTTGTAGGTGTGAACGGGTTGCACTGAGGGAGGGTGACATGGGGACGAGAAGTGGGCAGACGCGGGCGCACGCGGAGCTGTGCTGGCAAGTGCCGCGTCACAGTCCTCACCAGAGCCTTTACCTCCCTCTGCAATTTCCCTTCTGTCCGGTTCCTGTTTTAAGAGGCCCCAGTTCTGGAAATCTACACCTATAATTTATAGGGACAACTTCGGCAATTGGGTCCGAAAGTCCCTTCAGGAATGAAAGAGTGCAGCTCTGTCTTCGAGAAAACCAGGGATTTAGCCACTTGGAAGAAGCAGGCCCTACTTTTGACATTTTCAACGTCATCCGACTTAACAACAGCTAGGAAAAGGCCAGCGGAATTATCTGGAGTGGAATGAACATGTTGAACTTTTTCACACGTCAAAAATGCTTGAATGGCTGATCCAAACCTTCCTTAGAGGTCTCACACTTGGATCGCTCAAGGAAGAATACAGTCTGCTCACTGCCTTTTTTCCGGGCTTAATTGGAATAAGGGCTGGACAGCACACAGGGCCCTGATTCCAGGCTGGGAAGAGGCCAGTGCGTGGGAGACCCTGCCCCGCCCACGGCCACGATGGAGGGACGCCCACACCGCCGTCCTGGCGGGACCCGACCTCCACGTGGCGAGGCGGACACATGGCAGGCGAGGAGACAACGTGACCATGAAGCCACGTGGCTGGAGGAGTGTGGTGGTGGCCACGGAGATTGAGGGCAGCGGGTGTGCAGTGAGGGTGACATGGACTGTGCCCTTGGGTCTGTGTCCTTCCTGATAGGACGAGGAGAGCAGTGACCCCACCAGGGGTCAGCAGAGCCCCCCCAAATGAGTCCAGCGGTACAGTGTCATGCATTGTGTGGGGGGTGTGGGGGGAGGTTTGTCGAGGGGTGGGCCTCACCTCGGTAGGCCAGCCGGAAGCCCTGCCGGCTCTGGGAGTGGTCGCTGGAGAAGCGGACGAGGGTCTCATGCGTGGTGCTGAGCAGCGCGGCCGGCAGGTCGGGGCCGCTGAACTGGCCGAGCAGCGGGCTGGTGGGGTGCGGTCCGTTCTGGATCTCGAGGAAGTCGTGGTTGGCCTCCGTGGAGAAGTTCAGGAACCGGATGTGCGCACCTGTGGGAACACGTGTGAGATAAGGGAGCGTCACTGTCGGCGCTGAGAGGCCGAGCTCACCAGAAGTGACTGCCCCTTGATCTGCGTGCCCAAGCGCCGTCCTGCCCCTCCGGGGGCACAGGGCGCTGCAGGGGAGGCTGCTCGCTCGTTTCGGATTAAAATAGATGCGGTTCCGTCCCCGCCGCCCCCTCGAAGCTGTGGGACCTTCATCTGTGCCATTAGAGTCCCGATTGACTCTCTGAGAGGCCTGCGACCAGCTGTGCCATGGGGACACGCGGGCATTGCTGCCTGGCTCTGGGGCGGAGGCGGGTTCTGCCCACCGCTGCTCCAAGGCTCACAGCGCGCACGCAGGTGGGACTCGCTGTCGGGTCACCCAGTGGCACCAAGGACGGACTGATGCAGCCCAGAACTCAGCGCCACAAACCAACGGACCATCCAGGGCAGGGGTCTTCAAACTTTTTAAACGGGGCCAGTTCACTGTCCCTCAGGCCGTTGGAGGGCCGGACTATAGTTTAAAAACAAACTATACAGGGGCTTCTCAACGCCCGGCCGCGGCCAGGGGTTTGCCCGGTCAGCGAGCCGTGCGTTCACTTGGTTTTACAAGCAAAGCAAGTCGCAGCTGTTTGCAGGAAACCATCCACTGGACCCGTCACTACCACAGCCCAGTCTCCTAGCCCGGCCCCAGGCGACGACGGGAGACAGTCCAGGTGGCCCGGCTGCTGCGGCCACGGGGCCCGGGCACAAGATAAAGGACGGCGGGTAAGGCGGGCGCACGGCGGCGTCAGGATGTGGGGCCGTGGCTTCGGGAACTTTCACTGACGACTGTATCTGAAAGGCCCGACTCCGTCACCGGCTGAGATAGCGCCCGAAGCGGGCGTTTTTACATGAACCGACGCGAGTGACGCGGGCCGGTACAGCCCCCCGGAGAGCTCGACAGCTCCCGGATCGTTCCACCGGCGCCTCGGAAAAGTGTTCCTCATGCCACTCTCCTGCTCTCGAAAGATAAGGAGGGCTTTCATTTCTTTTCCATCTCGCAGACTCCTTTCTGGGGCTTGGAGACCGGAGATAACGCGCACGCCTTGCCCCCCCTCAAGGGCGAGTGCTGAGCACGGAAAGCAGACCTGCCCACATGGTGCTGGCAGGAAGCTGGGCTGTCCTGGGCCAGAAGCAGAGGAAGGGAAGGAGAAAGCCTCAGGGAACAGCGGGAGGGAAGAGACATCTACACGTGCTCAGTACAATGCACCGTCCTCCAACCTCCAACTCAACGATGCGGGAACGTGAGGAGGAAGAAATAGGGCCCTTGCTGGCTGGGCGCAGTGTTCGGCTGACTGCCTGTCCAGGATCCAACGTACCAAGGAGCTCTTGTCCCCCAGTTCCCCAGGAAGTCACTATTATTGTCCTCGCAAAGTCACAGGGAGCAGGCCCAGGCTCAGAGGGGTGCGGTGGGGTGCCCACGGCAGCGGGGGACACAGCGTCTGGCACGCCCACCCTGGTGGACAGCGCCCTGCCCTGTCCTGGCCTAGGGGGTGACGTGCTAGACAAGAGCAACAGCCTCATGAGCGGGACGACGGCGGCCCCCAGTCCTTCTGGGGGAAACTCCTGTCCGGATGCCCAGCCCGGCTGGAAGAGGAAGGTGGGGAGGAGGAGCACGTGGGGTCCCAGGAGACGCCGAGGGGACAGGGAGCAGAGGGAACGGGAGGGAAGAGGGACCGTGAACATCAACCACAATGTAGCATCGTTTCAGAAGGTGGGGTGCAATGCACATGGATCGTCTGACTCTACACGCATGTGTGGGCGCAGCCAGGAGGCAGGTCCCGGTCGGCAGGGGCGGGGGGCTCCACCTGGGGGCACGGGCACCGCCAAAGGCAGCCCCTCTTGGACCTGAAGCTCCGTGACGACTTGAACAGCAAACAGGGTTTCCTTGAAGAGACAAAGATGCGCGGCCGTTTTCTTCTAAATCCCAGCAAATGTGTTCACGCAAAGGAAGAGACAAATCAGACAGAGACAGACTCAGGGACACAGAACAGACGGGGTCGCCAGGGGCGGGAGGGGAGGAGAAGGCTGGAAAAGGTGAGTGAGAATAAGGACGGACTCCCCGTTATGCACACATCCGTCCGGGATGGAATTCACTCACAGCCCCGGGAACAGAGCCAGGCCTGTGATAGCTCTGCAGGGTAACGGGGCTGCCAGGCGTCTGGGGTGATCACGGTGTAAGCTCTATAGGTGCCGAGTCACTAGGGGGCAGGCCTGAAGGTCACATACGATTGTGTGTCAACTGCACTTCAATAAGGAAGCTTGAGAAGGAAACACCGCCCTGTCTCTCCCACCCCCGATTCCCGAGTCAGACGATTGCACCCCGACATCGCACCCCCAGGTCCCCACAGCAAGAATCAGACCCGCGGTGCAGCACCCTGAGCCCTAGTGGGCAGTCACCCAGGCCTCTGCTCCCTCCAGCTCAGAGTGAATCGCTGCCTCTATCTCAGAGCTTATGATCTAAAAACCAAAACCAACTGAAATCCTGGAAGCCACAGCCCTTACCTTCTGTGAAATCACTACACGTCTGAGCCCCACGCGCCCTCTGGGCCACCCCCAGCAAACCAGGGGACATGAGCCTCACACGTGGGTGCCCGTCCAGTAGACATGAACTTCACACGTGGGGTGCCCATCTAGTGGACATGCGCCTCACATTTTGGGGTGCCTGTCCAATAGACTTGAGCCTCACATGTGGGGTGCCTGTTCAGGCCCCCATCTTTCCCTGGAGTAACACTCCATGTCTGTGCACAGCACGCTCACGTCCTCACGCCTGACCCCGGCCTGCGGGCCGCTGCCCGTCCTTCCACCAACAGCCGCGCTGCCCCCAGCACAGGGCCTCTGGGCAAAAGTCTGAGCACATCCTACAGACACGACCTCCTTCCAGGCAGCGATGTCCGTGTGCTGTGCTCACGCGTCTCACCCAGCATCCCTGGGCGCCCGTGACTTAGTGAGCGAGCCTCAGGGACTCGGACCCGGCCCGAGTGTCTGTGACATGCCCATTGCAGGCGCCGCTCTTCAGAAAGTCACCGGTGGGACAGCCCCAACCATGAACTAGAATGCCAAGGCAACCATGAGGCGTCAGGGAAAGGCATGATGGGAAAGCCAACTTTCGCAAAAACCGTGTGTTTCCACAGAGGGCCAAGGGGAGCTGCCAGCTACACAGCAGCTAAAATCAGGACTTATTGATGCCTCGAGGCCCGGGGCACGAATCCGTGCAAGAGCAGGCCTTCCTTCCCCGGCTGCCGGCACCGGCTTCTCTCGCAGCCCTGGCTTCGTCTGGAAGGTCGTCTGGAAGGATGTCCGGTCTAATTAGCATATCACGCTTTTATTAGTAATACATGACTACCCTGAGCGTTCAAAGCTGAATGTTATGAAAAGCCAGTTCTATAAACAGAAATCAAGACAATATAAACATTTTAGCCCGACCGGTAGGGCTCAATGGTTGAGCGTTGTTGACCTATGAACCAGGAAGTGACGCTTGGTTCCCGGTAGGGGGCGTGCAGGAGGCCGCCGATCAATGATGTTCTCTCATCATTGATGTTTCTCTCTCTCTCTCCTTCCCCCTTCCTCTCTCTGAAGTGAAACAATTAATTTATAAAACAAACGGAAATGTGCCGTAAACCGAAAAAGCCCTAAAACCATTCCAAAGGCACACTGACTGCTGCGGAGTCCCGGGGGCCAGAGGCGGGTGACCCAGGGAGAGGCTGGCCTGACGTGGGTGCCCATGCGCACTCCCCGTGTTTACCGTCTCAGCACCCCGTGGACCGGCTTTGCCGTGGAAAGAGCCCTATGCCCCGTCTCCCCGGCCCCTTTCCCTTCTCCACGCCTTCCGGCCCAGCTTCGTGGAAACCCGTCCCCACTTCCAGGGACAGCCGCCCTCACGTCAGCAGCACCAGGCGGCTCTCCCTCAGCCGCTTCTCGGCTGGGGGTGGGGAGTGGGTGCTGGGCGCCCCGCGCTCACTCACCGTGGCCCACGGGCAGGGCGATCCGCCAGCTGCAGTGCAGGTTGCTGGGGTAGGCGCCCGGGAAGCCGGGGCTCAGGATCACGCCGGCCAGGCTGCTCAGCGTCCCCCCGCACGTCGCTGCCGGAGGGAGCACAGGGTGCATGTGAGTTTCTTCCTGAGGGCTATGATTTCTCAAACACAGGTTTCAGAGAGCCCGGAAGTCACTGTCATCTCTGTGTGATTCCCAGTCCTGACCCCCACCCTCCCCGGGCTCACGGGGAGCAACGCGCTGAGACCTTCCCGTCCATCACCGCCAGCTCTCGGGCCCCTGGGGCCGTCGCTAGGGACCACCTTTCCCTGTGCCTGGTGAGGGGTGCAGAGCCAGCAGGTGTGAGGGAGACGGTGCACCTTCCATCTGTGCTCACACCGAGGCACGTTAAGGAAAGATACAAACCGACTACATTTGGCCGATAAGGGTAACGACTCTCAGGAGACATTTCCTCCGGGAATGCACACGCCAGCAAGGGCACAGGGTTTGACTGCGTACCCTTTGCGAGTGAATTTCCGCTCAAGGTTTAAAATATCAAATTCCCAGTTTAAGGGAAAGTTGTTCATTTGAAACGAATAGGAAGAGCGACGAGAGCGAGAGGAAGCGTGGAGGGAGCAGGCGTCCCCGCGGTCCCACCCTGGTCCCCGTGTGCAGATGGAGCCGGGAGTTTGAATCCCACACGGATACCTTCACATGTGTGCGGGGCCTGGAGTCAGACATTTATTTTCACCCAGAAGTCACTTTCCCTGATAAAGCCGTGGTCACTAAGGACCACTGTTCCCTTGGCAACAGATACGATGCCGTGAGCACAGCCCGCAGGCGTGCTGCTGGGTGGACTCCTGACGGTGGGAGCTTGTTGTTTAAGTGGTTGGTCTATTTCCTTCCGCGCACACTCCGTCTGCTTCCTGTTCAGGGCGGTCATGCTGTGTGTGACAGAAACCCTTAGAAACCAGGGTGCGCGGGACGGGAAGCCAGGCTCCGGAGCCCTTCCTTCCGTGTGAACTTGAGGAGGTGCCTGCCCTGGCTGACGTGTCAGTGCCATCTTTGGAAAAATCAAAAGTGATGCAAAAAAAGATAAACATAATGGACACTTTAAAAAAGGATAGGTTCGCCCGGACGGCGTGGCTCAGGGGTTGAGCGTCGACCTATGAACCATGAGGTCGTGGTTCGATTCCTGGTCAGGGCACATGCCCGGGTTGCGGGCTCGATCCCCAGTGGGGGGTGTGCAGGAGGCAGCCGATCAATGTTTTTCTCTCTCTCTCTCTCCCTTTCTCTCTGAAATTAATAAAAGTATACTTTTTAAAAAAGGACAGGTTTGTTATTGCTGATCTTCCCTCTTGTGTCAGGTCCTAAGGTGGCAGGCAGGGCACTGCCCGTGGAGGGACTGAGTCGGGGGGTGGTGGCAGGACTGGCTGTTCCCTGTAGGGACCAGGACGGGGAGGGGAGCGGCTCAGGGCGCTGCCCAGGGGTCTGGACGGCCACGGGCCGCGGGCGGGGTCGTACCGAGGCAGAGGGGCGGCGGGTAGTTCCAGCGGCGCACCGGGCCGGGCATGCAGGAGATGTGCGAGCGGCCCTGCGGAGAGAGGAGGCGCAGTGAGGCCGCGGTTGGGCCGGCCCGAGGGTCGGTGCTGGGACGAGACTGTCCTGGCTTGGGCCGTGCTTTCTGGGGGTCATGGCCAGGGCGACACTCTTCCAGAAGTTGGACATGTCCCTATAGCACTGTCATTCACGAATCACGTATTTTGACTCAAAAGAGAATAACCTATTTCTCCTCGTTTAACACACTTCCCACGCCCCCGTCAGCAGTGATGGCCCCGCCGGCCCCTCTCCTGGGGCGCAGGGGGGATGTGAACTGAGCAAAGGACTGTGTGTCGCTTTATTCCATCTAAGAAGTTACAGCTCTCAGGCTCAGGGGCTGGACAGGGCCAGGAAATACGAAGTTTCCATGGAAGGGTGAAAGGTCAGCAGGGCAGCACTGGGGTTTGAAAAGGTGTCGCTGTGCAAGTGGGAACCTGGGCTCTCACCTTCGTGAGTGGGAGGACCCTGAGGGGAACCCCCTGACACCCACCTGCGGCATGTACTCCCACCTACAGAGTAACCCCCACCTGCAGCATATACACCCACCTACAGCGTTCACACCCACCTGCAGCCTATACCCCCACCTGCAGTGTTCACACTCACCTGCAGCATATACCCCCACCTGCAGTGTTCACACACTCATGCAGCGTGCACCCCCACCTGCAGTGTTCACACCCACCTGCAGCGTTACCCCCACCTACGGCATGTACCCCCAACTGCAGTGTTCACACCCACCTGCAGCGTGTACCCCCACCTGCAGTGTTCATACCCACCTGCAGCGTTCACACCCACCCGCAGCGTTCACCCCCACCCGCAGCGTTCACACCCACCCGCAGCGTTCACACCCACCCGCAGCGTTCACACCCACCCGCAGCGTTCACCCCCACCCGCAGCGTTCACACCCACCCGCAGCGTTCACCCCCACCCGCAGCGTTCACACCCACCCGCAGCGTTCACCCCCACCCGCAGCGTTCACACCCACCCGCAGCGTTCACCCCCACCCGCAGCGTTCACACCCACCCGCAGCGTTCACCCCCACCCGCAGCGTTCACACCCACCCGCAGCGTTCACACCCACCTGCAGCGTTCACACTCAGCTGCAGCGTTCACACCCACCTGCAGCGTTCACACCCACCTGCAGCGTTCACACTCACCTGCAGCATTCACACACACCTGCAGCGTTCACACCTACCTGTAGCGTTCACACTCACCTGCAGCGTTCACACTCACCTGCAGCGTTCACACACACTGCAGTGTGTACCCCCACCTGCAGTGTTCACACCCACCTGTAGTGTGTACCCCCACCTGCAGTGCTCACACCCACCTGCAGTGTTCACACCCACCTGCAGCGATCACCCCCACCCGCAGAGTTCACACTCACCCGCAGCGTTCACACCCACCCACAGAGTTCACACTCACCTGCAGCGTTCACCCCCACCCACAGAGTTCACACCCACCTGCAGCGTTCACACTCACCTGCCGCGTTCACACCCACCTGCAGCGTGTACGCCCACCTGCAGTGTTCACACTCACCTGCCGCGTTCACACCCACCTGCAGCGTGTACGCCCACCTGCAGTGTTCACACTCACCTGCAGCGTTCACACTCACCTGCAGCATTCACACCCACCCGCAGAGTTCACACTCACCTGCAGCGCTCACACACACCTGCAGCGTTCACCCCCACCTGCAGTGTTCACACTCACCTGCAGCGTTCACACCCACCTGCAGCGTGTACCCCGGCTCACACTGGAAGGCCAGCACGTCGTTCACCATGTACCGGTCGCCCGTCTTGAGCCCGTTGCTGGGCAGGGCCGGCTCCTGGCACGCGGCGAGCCCCACGGCTGCGGAAACACAGACACAGGAGGTGGGAACACAACGCTGTTCTTGCATCTGCCTCATCCAGACGCCCCCCTTGCTCCCCCGCAGGAAGCGCAGCCCCCCCGAGAAGACGGTGAGGGACCCTGAATCAGCTGTGAGCTCGTTCTTAGTGTTCATTCGTTTCGTTTTAATGGGGGTGGATTTCATTTTAAATATTAACGGATTCTATTCTTGACTTCTTCAAGTAAAACTTGTTACTTCCATTCCATCTGAACGCCTCGATCCTCGCGCACACAATTTGAAAAGGCCTTACAGAATGACGGTCCCTGTGAGAGGCAGCCCCCACGATACTTCTCGCTTGTTGTTCTTCAGATAACACGGTGCAAACAGTAACAGTCTTTGTGAAAAGTGTTAAGTGTGAACCTGGGAACCCGACTCTTTCAGAAAACATGAGAACAAATGCGTCGTGTTCCAGCTCCCCCTCATTTAAAGACAACGGGGAGCCGTCCCGCGAACAGGCTGCTCCCGTGAGCAGGGCCAGCACTGCCCCCTGAAGCTGCAGCCAGGGACCTGCCCAGACGAGACGGTCTCTGGTGAAGGCGCTAACAGTATTCCCGATGTGTCCCAGGACACAGGAATTCAGCCTAACAGGTCAGGTAAATTAGTGCTCATATTGTGTAACAATTATCTGTATAAACCCCTATTATACTAATAACAAAACACGCGGCCATGGCATTTTATAAAACCGGAAATGCTTTGGGAATGGTGCTGAAGATCTGGAGACTGTATGTGCAGTGCAACCTCTCCCATCACCCTAGGAAGTCTTCCCTGACACCAGGTTTATTTCATTTTTTAAAATATCTTAAAAAAAATAATTTTAGAGAGAGAGGAAGGGAGAGAGAAACATTGATGAGAGAGAGAAACATCAACCAGCTGCCTCCTACACGCCCCCTATTGGGGATCAAGCCTGAAACCCGGGCATGTGCCCTGATGGGGAACTGAACCAGTGACTCTCAGGGCCCATGAGGCCACTCGACCACTGAGCCACACGGACCAGGTGACCCCGGGCCTGAGGAGCTAGCAGCGTATTCCGGTGAGAAATGGGGAGAAGGGTCCCTTTGGTGCAGATCCGCCTGAATCCCCAGCTGGCCTTGGGCTTACACTTCAGTTCTCCCCCAACACAAGGACCAACGAACTGGGACTCGAGTTGTGGGCTGGGTGGGGTGGTGGGGGAGACGTTAGCTAACCCTGGAGCGGCCACCAGCAGGGCCCGCCGGCGCCCCTGTGCGCGTGTGAGGACAAGTCTGCCCGCCCACACGACCGTCCACACGTGGGTACCCGGCCCACCATGTCTGCTCACACGCATGCTCACTGTCTCATCGGACTTCGCTTACTGTAAAGTCAGAGCCCTGTTCCGTTTGGCTCAGTGGATAGAGCGCCGGCCTCCGGACTGAAGGGGCCCAGGTTCGATTCCGGTCAAGGGCACGTACCTTGGTTGCAGGCTCCTCCCCCGCCCGGGCCCTGGTCGGGTGCATGCAGGAGGCAACCAATCGATGTGCTACTCTCACACCGATGTTTCTCTCTGTCTCTCCCCGTCCCTCCCTCCCGGTCTCTCTAAAAATCAATGGAAAAACACCCTCGGGTGAGGATGAACAGCAAAAGGAACATAAAGTCAGAGACCTGATTATCAACAGTCCAAGGCTGGAGGCGGACAGCGCAGCGGCTGCTGAGGGCTGGAGCCTGTGCCACCCACGGTGTCCACGCACACTGCGGGCCCTGGGCCAGGCCTCACCCTGGACAGGCAGCGCATGCAGATGGGGAGGCACACGCGGACGCTCATCCCGGAGAGGCACGGGGTACACTCTCCTCCCCTAGGGAGCTCGGCGCCCGCCTCTGGCCTTTGACGGGAACCAAAGGCTCAGGGAAGCCCAGGCGGCCGGTCAGCTGCCCAGCCCCAGCCTGCAGACCCGCCTGCAGGGGAAGGAGGGGCCCATCTCCTCCACTTCCCAGCCTCTCAGCACCGCGTGGGGAGCCAGGGGCTGTGCTGGCCCGAGCTGCCGAGTCCAGTCTGCACAGGACAGGCCCCGTCCCTGGGGATAACGTCCGAGATCCGCCACATCACTTCAGCTTCCCCCAAACCTGGGAGATGGGACGACGGGAGGGCGGTGCCCTCAGCCCCCACCGTGACCAGAGGCTTCGGGGGACACCTGGTCAGGAGGGGCTGGGAGCCCATCGGTCTGTCTGTGGGCGCAGGGCTGAGCCACATCTCGCTCCCCTACGTCAGAACTGGTTTCTCCCTGAACGGCCGCACATTAAAGGCAGAGAGCGCCAGAGGCATTAAGTGGCATTTTTTTTTAATCCAAGCACATTTGGGGCTTTTCATGGACCGTAAAATTGCTAAATATGAAAAATAGAGCACTTAGTCCTCTAACTTGTTTCATTGGCTTATATCTCATTTCTCTCCATCTTTTAACGTTAGAATACAGATCACAGCTACATTGAATTTCACCTTTTCCGTTCTTTCAAAAACTGGCAAATCAACTCCCGTAGATCACTTCATGTTTTGTTTGGCTCCGGAAAGAAGGCACGTAAAAGCTCTCAGTGTAGAATGTCTAATTGCCGCATGGGATAGGGAAGAGCTTAGGGTGATAACACATCAAGGTCACCCCAGGCCAGACTGAGGACAGAACACAACCCCAACATGTGCAAAAGCACAGAAAAAGATGTTTAAATTAAAAGAAAGCAACTGTGACACATAATTCAACATTAAGTTTCGTTACTAAACCCCCTTGCTTCACAAATAATGGTTCTTTACTTATTTGCTGTTTATTACATGCTGACTTAAGTGCATTTATTGTATATTAATTTATTTTCATTTTTTCCTTCCTTGAAATTTATGTGTAAATCCAACTCATCCTGCAATAGAAGCAACTTGCATTTATATCTGTACCTGCAGAAATTATTAAAAAATTTCAGAATAAATAAAAAACAAACAAAAATATATCAATCAGTGCAGGATCAGAGAAGTCCCAGGGGCGCTCCCTCAGGCCTTGGCGTTGGAAATGCAGATGGAGCCGCCTCCCATCCCATCCCCTCCCATCCCCTCCCATCCCCTCTCTTCCTGTCCCCTCCCACCCCAGCATCACCCTGTAGCCCCTGTAGGTTAGAAGCTGAGGACACGGAGACGCTTGGCATTTGTGGGCACATCCCCTAGTGACACCCTGGAGACAAACACACCGATACAAGCGCGCCCGGGACAGAGCTGCAAATGGAGCGGGCCTCACAGGATGACCCACCACGTCTGCGAACGTTTGAGGGCCCTGGGCCAGAGCTGGGCAGTGCCCAGGCACCTGGAGTGACGTGAGCGCAGTGCAGAGCGGATTTATGTCATGAGTGGGGCTACTTCGGGTCAGAAGCCATGCCTCCTGCACAGGGCACAGAGCCAGGCGCTGGCTGATGCACACACCCAGCACGGGGAGCCCTCCCTGGGCCTGAAAGGATAGGGGGTTGGGGGTGGGAAAGCCCTTTTAGAGAAACACCCACCATGTGCAGGACCCAGAATACAAACATCAGAAAGGAGCAGGCGGCAACAGCAGGACGCCAAACCTAGTGCCCGAGCCCGGCCAGGGTCAACCTGTGAGCGTCCACCTAGAAACCAGGAGGTTGAAGTTCGAGTCCCGGTCAGGGCACAGGCCCAGGTTGTGAGCGCCATCCCCAGTGGGGGGTGTGCAGGAGGCAGCCGGTCCATGATTCTCTCTCATCGTTGATGTTTCTCTCTCTCCCTGCCTTTCCCTTCATCTCTGAAATCAATAAAAATAAATTTAACAACAACACAAAACAAAAAATACCTAGTACCTTAGGAGACGGAGCCGCTAACTCTCTGACCTCAGGATGGAGGCGGGGCTGGAGACGTTCTGGGAAGAACAAGCTAGGGTGTTTGCTTTTCATCATTATTCTAGTCCCGGCGGAAATGGAGGTGCGGGGAGCAGGCGGGCGGGGGCCGGCAGACACCTGGAGAGGAGGCGCCTCAGCCATCGCTGTGCACAGCGCCCATTAGCGTCTGCAGAGAACGGTGAGCAGCAGATGCTCATTCGGGGCCGAGTTTAGAAGAAAAAGGTCCTGTCCAGCGAGACTGGTGTGGAATGTTAACTCCCCGCGGCAGCCACACGGGGACGCACACGGCTGTGGCGCGCAGCCGCTCGGAGGTGTTTATCCCGGGGGCGGGACCCTTTTCCCGGCCAAGGGCCACTGGATGTTTAGACCATCACTTGCAGGCCGCACAGAAGCGTCCACGTAGCAGTCAGCCTGCTCTATTGGGGCAGCCTCCTCTTAGGACTTTCTGTTTCACAAGACTTAAGCGTTTTCCAGAACTTTCATCCCCTGCAGACACTGCCCGCTGAGCGCCTGCTCCCCGATGAGGCCCCAAGGGAAATGGGGTGGAGAGCCGAGGAGATGGAGGCCCTGGAACCAGTGAGCGCAAAGGGAAGCGCTTGGGAGCCCGTCCGTGACAACAGGAGTGAGCAGGGACAACCTCTGCCGACCAGGACCCAGGCCCCGCGGACGTCCACGCGGCTCACGCAGCACGGTCTGGGCATCACATCAACAATGTGCGTGACGGCCATGGACGCTCCTGCTGCACCTCCTAGGAAACCTTCGGTGGCGACCCTTCCCTTGCGATTATAAACATCAACCAGAACAATAAACAAGGACGGTGCTCATCTCTCTGGACGACGAGGTTTCATTTGTAAAGCGAATTAAATAAAAAGTTCTACCTCATTTCTGCTCTCATTGCCAGAAATTAAAAGCTAAGCTTAGTGCCGAATAATAGCAGTTCTCTCAAAATAAGTGGCTGGTATACTTATGTATTTCTCTTTGGTTTGGTTGCCTTTTAAAATTATCTTTGTTATATGATTTCCTTGTTGCATGCATTTTTTTTTGAAGTTGCATGAAATACCCAAAGAGTGTACAGGTTAACTCTTCTTTCTTTAAATCTAAGTAATCTTATTTTTAAAATTCATTTCAC